CCAGACACAAAGGAGGAGCAGCCAATGAGTCCCATCTTCTGACTGGGTCTTCCAAGCATGTGAAATGGGATGGAACATGGAGAGGTCCAAACATCAAACTATAGAGGCTTCCACTCTGATCTACATGGAAAGTCAACTGAGCATCAGACGGAATCAAGTACAGAAGAGACCCAAGGGAGGAGCCCTTTGTCAAATGGGCCTCCCCCAAGACCTCTCAGAGTAAAGGAACCAGAGAGTTTGTAGAAGCCACATGACAAGACTGTTGTCTATAAGAAGGAATTTCTATTTGTCTCTGAGCTGCAGCATCACTGGAGGGTGAATGGATAACTTTTTACATGTCTGTAGAGTAAGTGAGAAATGTTTAAAATTTCCTTTGAGAGTTCACAGGAGATACACATCTGTTTTCTCACATTATCCCTCCCACTTGGTGAGAGATTCCAAAACACTAATGGTGCGGCTTCCACTATGTCCATCTGAGCTCTTACCTGTGATCACACCTTTCATTCGTTCCCACTGCTTTGGTTTCCTTGCTATTTTCACTTGGCTCTCCACAGACCAGGGCTTTTCCTCTGTTGCCAACATGGAGATAAGATTCAGGCCAGGAAAAGAATATCCTGCTCATAAAATGAAAGGAACATGATGTACTCTGGCTTTTCCAGAATCCCAACCCTATATTTATGTGAAAATAGAAGACATTACAAAGAAATCTAGGAAAATATTTTACAATTTATCCACTACTTGCCTCTTCCTGGAAGCTAAGGGAACACTACAAAATGCAGATACCTTGTTGGGTTCCAAGAACTACTGAATAAAAAGCACAGGAGGCCGGGCGCTGTGGCTCACGCCTGTAATCCTAGCTCTTGGGAGGCCGAGGCGGGCGGATTGCTCAAGGTCAGGAGTTCAAACCAGCCTGAGCAAGAGCGAGACCCCGTCTCTATTCTAAAAAAATAAAAAATAAAAAAAAATAAAAAAAAGAAGGCCAGGTGCATTGACTGATGCCGGTAATCCTTGCACTTTGGGAGGCCAAGTCAGGAGGATCACTTGAGGCCAGGAGTTTGAGACTAGCCTGAGCAACATGGTGAGACCCCCATCTCTACAAATTGAAAAATTAGCCAGGCATGGTAGCACGCAAGATCTGAAGTCCCAGTTACTTAGAAGGCTGAGGCAGGAGGATGGATTAAGCCCAGGAATTTGAGGTTGCAGTGAGCTATGATCACACCACTGTAGTCTAGCCTGGACAAGAGAGTGACACCCTGTTTCATAAAAGCAAAACAAAACAAAAGACCATAGAAAATATTTAACATAATTTCATTATTACAAAATATAAAACTTATTGCAAATAATGATGTTGCTTTGATATAAACCATGGGCTTGCCCATCAATGCACTCATGCACACACATCACATATCCATACACCTAAATTAACATCAGTTAGCAGATTATAAGCAAAAGTCTAGAAAGGACACATCCCCAGAAATAGCTTGAGAGGTCTCAAGAATCTTGAGCCATGCTGACTGGAAAGTGTCCTTCCTGAAGGAAGTCAGACACCAAAAACAGGGAGAGCGGCTGATTTTGGAACTGCTGAAGTACTAACAGAGGATAACAAGACATACAATGAGAAAAGAAAACACATCCAATACAAAGTGACAAATTAAATAACCACAAACTGACATCAAAGAAACAGAAATTTACAAATAATCAAATCAAAAATTCAAAGAAAGAGTCATAATGATGCTCAATGAATTACAAGACAGCATACACAGACAACTTTAGGAGACCATTAAACCAATGCAAGAAGAAAATGACAAGATCAACAAAGAGACAAAAACTATGAAGAAGAACTACACAGGCATTCATAAGCTAAAAATATAATAACTGACTTGAAAAACTCAATAGAGGGGTTCAAAATAGACCTAACCAGGCAAAGAATTAGTGAAGAGGAAAAGTACTAGAAGAAAACAAGAATCAAGAAAAATGAAGAGAGCCTAAGGGACTAACAAGATACCATCAAGGGCAACATCCTACACATTGTTAAAGTCCCAAAAGAAGGTGATACAAAGCCTGTTTGAAGACATAATTGGTCCAAATCTTCCCAAATTTGAGAAGATACATGAATGTATAAATTCAAGAGCTTAAAGATATTCAACTAGGATAACTCTGAGACACCTACAACAAACAACATCATAATAAAACTGTCAAAATTCAGAGAGAAAGAATCTTAACAAGAGAACAGCTACGTCTCACCCAAGAGGAAGCTTCTGTAATATTACCAAGAGATTTCTCAGTAGAAACCTTGCAGCCTACAAGGGAATGAAATGATATATTCAAAGTGCTGAAAGAAAACAACTGGAAACTAAAAATACGACACCTGGGGAAACTATCACTCAAAAGAAATGGAGAAATTAGGTCTTCCTCGGAGAAATTAGGTCTTCCTCAGATAAATGAAAGGTGAGGGAGTTGGTCACCACTAGACTTGCATCTATGGTCTGAATGATTTAATGGTCTAAAAGGGAAAATTATAATGTTCTTAGTAGGTACAGAATTTCAGTTTTGCAAGAAGAAAAAGCTCTAGAAAATCTGCTACACAATAATGTAAATATGCCTAAGACTATTTTACTGTAAAACAAATAAAGAACTTTACTGAAATATGTGATCAAAGACTCACCCAATTCTTATCGGAAGATGTGATCTCAAGACTTCTATAACTGTAGATAATAATAGCCATTAAACACAAAAGAAACAGCTGAATTTCAATAAAACCTGACTGCGTTCTCCCAAAGGAAAACCAATGTAATTTTGAAAAGAAAAAATATGGAGTTTACCAAACTACATACAAACCGCTTATGACATATATTACCTAAAACTTTAAATTGAATCAAATGAAATACCTAAAAGATTATGTAAAAATCCAAATTAATTATAGATGTTAACAAAATTTTAAACAATAAAAATATGTCAGTGAAGCAGTATTTTGTAATCATGCACTAAGCAAGGCCTGTCAAAGCAAAATGAAACAAACAAATGAAAAAAGGGGACAGGAGAAAGACTTCTATTTTACATTTTTAAAAAAAGTACAAATGAAAACAGACACTAGGGTATAAAGAGTTAAACTACAGAATATAAAATAGCTCTTAAAATATATGCATATTGAGTAAAGTATTAAAATCCATTTTACATATGTGTGTCTACAAACTAATGAAACCTACTTAGACTCCCAAGGAACTGGAAAATATAAATAAAAAGGGTGATTATTTCTCCAAAATATGAAAAGAACACAGTGCTAAATTTTACTTAAATCAGTGGAAAATCTAACATGGTCTTGGTATCTTTGCAGCTGGGGTTAAGGAGGAAATCTTGCCAGATCTAAGAAAACAGGAAATGAATTCTGCTAGTAGAAGCAACACTTTTTCAATTGCCTAACCTGCATGACCCCTCAGACATCTGCAGTGAAGTCAGTGTGCTCAGAGGCAGGCAGTATGTCATTCTTTGCAATAGTGGGAAACGAAAGACCCACCTGTCTTTATTCAGAAAACACACCAAGGCCAGGTACCGTGGCTCACGCCTGTAATCCTACCACTCTGGGAGGCTGAGGTGGGCGGATTGCTCGAGGTCAGGAGTTTGAAACCAGCCTGAGCAAGAGTGAGACCTCGTCTATACTATAAATAGAAAGAAATTAATTGGCCAACTAATATATATAGAAAAAATTAGCCGGGCATGGTGGTGCATGCCTGTAGTCCCAGCTACTTGGAAGGCTGAGGCAGGAGGATCGGCTGAGCCCAGGAGTTTGAGGTTGCTGTGAGCTAGGATGATGCCATGGCACTCTAGCCCAGGCAACAGAGTAAGACTCTGTCTCAAAAAAAAGAAAACACACCACGGAGGATATAAAAAAGCAAGCTATCATGTTTATTAACATGAAAACAGGCACATTTTCAAAACTGGCAGGATAAAATATTAATATCACAAGAAAACATTCAATGAAGAATTCTTTCTAAGATCTCATAACGATTTACAAATACATTTGTATAAGGCTTGTGGCGATCCTTGCATCAGAACTGACAGCAGTGATACCCCACTGACACGTGAGGAAGCGTGGAAGGTTGGACATAAAAGTGGATGCTTCACATCTTAGCACCTAAGTGCATCACTGCTTGCAGTTTTACTATAATACAAATATGCACACCATGTGGGGTTAAAAATGAAAGAAATGCAACACTTAATAACAATAGGTAGAATGAGAATATGGCTCCATCAAAGAAGTTCTCTGATTTCTGAGGAAAATCATAAATATTTCTACTTAAATAACCTGCAGCACAAGAGTCTCTGCAGAAACAACAGTTGCCATGGAGGGAAGTGCTGAGAATGGCTTAAAAAATGTCCTACAGTTAGATATTTATATTGATTTCTTACTTTAAAATAAATGATGGAAGAAAGCATCTTCTATCACTGATGTCTCTGATACTTTCAGAGACATTCCAACTCTCTTGGAACTTTCCATTCCATTCCAACTTTCCATTCCATTCCAAGTCATTAAGAGCCTGAGTCAAGGATAACAAAATATGACTTGAAATATATCCCCTTATTGGTCTCGTTTTCCAGAATTTAGCAGGTAATCATGCACATGAATACGTGACTTCCACAGGCAGCTTCTCTAATCCTGGTCTACAGAGAGCTGACAGTGCATCCAGATGTGATCGCTTAACAGGCCCTGCGGCCCAACAGCACGACGCCATGGGACCATAGCCTGGGACCATAGCCTGTCTCCAATCCATGTCTGGGTGTGAAGCCCTTCCCAGGACGACGCCCAGTGTAGCCTCCTCACAAGGCAATGTCGCTGGGTACGGTGAATCTAAGTGGAGAGGAGGACTGAGGGAAGGCATGGTTGCGTGCATGCAAGCACATCAGGCAGGACGTGTCAGAGTCAGAGAATTTCAGCAACTCCAATGCCCGGCATTTCAGAAAGGAAGGAGACACAGAACAATCCACTCACAGTATCACTTTACCTGACTAAGAGCCATTCTGACTCCTTTTCTTTCCTCTTCCTCCTCTTCTGGGCTTCTTCTTCACATATGATGAGTCTTTAACAGTCAATCCTGAATGTCAAAAATAGGAGGTTTAGAGCTTAGAAACCACACACCCCCTTCCTGTGCTACACCACACACAAAGAAAGACCTCACCCTGCAGAAAGAGGGTCCTCTGTGACCCACTGCACCAGGAGGGATGCAAGGATAAAAACCTCCCACAGGAAGCCCAAAGGGTGAGTTTTTGACCCCTTTGTGCAGAACTCGCCCTCCTTGTGGAAGCCCACACTCACGCTGCAGCAGGGGGGAGCTGGGCTAGGCTGGGCTCCCCTCCAGGGCACAGGTGTGGCCCTGACCAAACCTGATGCAGAGCACAGCCCCCTCACCCCTGCATGGACTGCAGGCTGGTCTCTGCCCATAGAAATAAAAGAAATTGAGCCTTAACACTCGACACTGGATACACACTAGAGCCATGCGGGGCACTGTAAAGATATTGAAGGAGGGTCCCAACTTGACTATGGGAGCGGGAATCTCTGCAAAGGGGGCACAGGGATGTATCTGCAAAGCCTTAGCACCCTAACGTGCAGCCAGGCGTGAGCTTGGGGAACAAGCCCAGCACACCTCCCTCTGCTCTTGTCCCCTTGGGGACTTGGTGCCACCAGTATCCAGACAGTGAACGGCAAAAAACAAAAGGATTCCATCCCTCTGTACTACAAAAAAAATAAATAAATAAATAAAAAATAAAAAAACAAAAGGAAACACACAGAACAGGCAATATGGACCAGTGTGGGGGGTGAGGGTGTGGCTGGAATCTTAAACTGGGGGAAGTCGGAGAAGCCTCCACTGAGAAGGGGATACCAGGACAATGACTTGGTCAAGGAAGGATGTTTCCACCTCCAGGAGGGAGGGCAGAGAGTTCTAGGCAGACAGACTGCCCATGTGGAAGCCCTGAGGCAGGAGCCACCTTGGCCCCAGGAAAAGGGAAGAGGCCTGCGAGGCTGGAGCAGAGCGAGGACGACACAAGCAGATGAGGCCAGAGAGGTCCTGGGGGAGCAGAGCAGGGAGGGCCAGGTCTGCACACGTTTCTCTTCCACATCTCAAGAGAATTTTGGAAACTATGTATACCCTCACCCATATCCAGTGAACGTGTGATTTTTTTCTTTATATTACAAACTACAACCCTTACAAATAAGGTAATTATCTTAAATATTTAAAGTACAGGGTAACTCTCACCTGATATGTGGGGACGAAAGGGGAACACATTTGGGGGAGTTCAGAATGTCCCTTTTGGACATGCGAAAGGGAGATGCCTGTTAGCCCAGCAGAGAGTGGAGGACACAGCTGGACGCAGGAGTCTACAGTTCGGGGCAGAGGTCTGCAAGGGAAATTTTGACATGTCAGTAAGGCTTAAACCACGAGAAGAGACGACTAGGAAAGGCAGTGTGTGTGGACTGAGATGAGAAGAGGCTCAAGGACTAAGCTGTGGGTCACGCACACATTCAGAGAACAGCGAGTTCAGGACACACCAGAAGAGGAAAGTGTAAAGTCATCAGGGAGGTGACAAGAAAATTAAATCAAACAGACTTGTGAAGGTTAGTGGGACATCCTTTACAGCAAGGGGAAAAGAGACAGAGGGAGACCAGCTGTGCAACGTGCTGTGGACAGGAGAAAAAGAAAAAAGGACAAGGCCAGGTGTGGTGGCTCACGCCTGTAATCCTAGCACTCTGGGAGGCCAAGGCGGGCGGATTGCTCGAGGTCAGGAGTTTGAAACCAGCCTGAGCAAGAGTAAGACCCCGTCTCTACTATAAATAGAAAGAAATTAATTGCCCAACTAATATATATAGAAAAAATTAGCTGGGCATGGTGGCACATGCCTACATGACTACAGTCCCAGCTACTTGGGAGGCTGAGGCAGCAGGATTGCTTGAGCCCAGGAGATTGAGGTTGCCGTGAGCTAGGCTGATGCCACAACACTCACTCTAGCCTGGGCAACAAAACAAGACTCTGTCTCAAAATAAGAAAAGAAAAAAGGACAGAAAATTAAATACTTGTTTAGAAATGGGGAGATCACTGGTGACTCTGAAAAAGAAACTATCAATGGAATAGTGGATGTGAAAGCTCAATGTCAACCACACTAAGGTTTTCTGGGATAATCTCTCATCTCCATGTTGCGGGTGGGCTCACTGGGGCTCAGATAAGTTTCACCAAGTTATCCTGAGAAGGTCTGGGTTCAGCAAGAAGAGGATGTACCTGGATCCTGATATGGTGGCCTGGAAGGGCCAATGTACGGGTTTCTCTCTATCACATCTCCTCTAGAAAATTCCAGGACCATCTTTCACATGTCTCAGCAAAAGAAAATTCTCTGTCAGGTTCTGATGTCACTGATCCGAAACATTTAATTACTCTCTATCAGAAGATCACAGTAATATACTAAAAAAATACACAACTGTGAACACATAGCTATGTGTGTTTAAAACAGTCAGGTGTGAGCAAATTTTTTCTTCACCAATACATGGCTCTGTTGGAAGAAGCTTCCAAGTCAATCTAACCCTTCCTTCTACCTTTGCAGAGAACATGATGGACCAGAGGGACTTGAGGGGAATATCTATTTAGGAGCTCACAGCTCACTATTTTTAACAGATGACAAGAGGGAAGAAAATTAATACCTGACTAGCTACTTCAACTAGGTTTTGATGCTAAGGTGAAAAATGGGTCATTGATATCTTTAAGAAATACACATTGAAACAATCTAAAATTACATATTAGGTCCCAAAGAATGTTTCTAATATATGATAAAGACTAGCCAGGTGTGGTGGCTAACACCTATAATCTCAAAGACTAGAGCCTAAGAGACAGCAACACCATTTCAGCCCAGGAGGCTGCAGTGAGCTATAATTATGTCCCTTTCCAGTCTAGGCAACAGAACCAGACCCTATGTCTTAAAAAAAAATGTCATCATGGAAAGAATAGAAGGAAAAAATAAATAAATAACCTGGACACAACTGATTTCAAAGAGAAACAATTCTGAAATTCTTTAAAAAACAAAAAACAAAACTAATGAATTCTGGGGTCAAAGAAAAAAATATGAAAATATGCAATTTTGAAAACAGTAATGTAAACTGATTACAGGATACTACCAATCCTATTTCAGAAGTAATTATATATAGAAAAATACAAATTGAATAAACTAAAAATCATATCAAGCTTCAAAAAACAATTAATGAAATGAAAAAGAACAAGAAAGGAAATCCATTATAAAAAGAGCACAAAACCATTTTCAATGTTCCTTTTGAAAGGCACCATGTGGGCTCAGAACTGTAATCCCAGCACTTTGAGAGGCTAAGGTGGGAGAACTGCATGAGGCCAGGAGTTCAAGACCAGCCTGGGCAAGAAAGCAAGACCCCTACCTCTACCAAAAAAATTTCTTTTTTAAAAGGCATCCTGGGCCGGGCACGGTGGCTCACGCTGGTAATCCTAGCACTCTGGGAGGCTGAGGCCGGGGGATTGCTCAAGTTCAGGAGTTCGAAACCAACCTGAGCAAGAGCGAGACCCCGTCTCTACTATAAATAGAAATTAATTGGCCAACTAATATATAGAGAAAACATTAGCCAGGCATGGTGGTGCATGCCTGTAGTCCCAGCTACTTGGGAGGCTGAGGCAGGAGGATTGCTAGAGCCCAGGAATTTGAGGTTACTGTGCGCTAGGCTGACGCCACAGACCTCACTCTAGCCTGGCCAACAAAGTGAGACTCTGTCTAAAAAAAATAAATAAAAAATAAAAATAAAAGGCATCCTGCAGTAATGGACTCCATCACTTCTTGCCCACTTCACTTCCCATACCCTACCCCATCGCAGGAAAAGAGAAGAGATTACCCAACTGAATAAGTTAAGTCACTTTCCTCTGCCTGAATATGGATTACAAGTGGAAGCAAACCTCTGATGTCATAAATATAAAATGCACCAACCTTATAAAGAGGAATTTGACAATTCTCATTGTCATCTGAACAATTTAAACAAAAATTAATTATATAGAGTGAAATCAACAGGTCACAATTTAATCATCATATTCAATCATCTTAACACTCATCTGCTCCCAGTGTCCCCCCACTTTTCTCATTACTGTGTGCATCCCTCCCTCATTCGTCCCCTATCTCTCAATCTCACCTTCTTCCTCTAGCTCTTTTTTTTTCCTGTGTTTTCCCCCTGAGTTTCAGCCCCTCTCCTCTTCTGCTTTCTCCCCTTCTTCCTCTCTCTATTCCTTCTCTTCTGCCTGTCCTGCTCCACTCTGGAAACTTGCTTCATCTCCTGTTCCTTTTTCCCCAGTCTTTCCACTGTCCCCACTCTCCATGTATTTATGTCTCTTTCTTCCCTGTCTCTGCTCCCCCTCTGCTCTCCCTGGTAAACTCCCTCTTCCCTGCACAATCCCTCAGTCCCAGGCTCTGCCACCCCCAGGTCCCTACACTTCCTCCCTCCTTGGTTCCCCCTCTGCTCTCCTTGTCACCAGGAGGCCCCTCTTACTGTCCCAGCACCATGCTGCTGTCTCCCCCACTCTCTGTCTGAGGTGCCTGCCCCTTGGCTGCCCCTGTCCTTATTTTGCTGAAATTCATCTCTCGCGATATCAAGCCCTTCTCTGCATTTCTCCAGTTGCTTTTCTGCCCCTGCTACTTTCCCAGATCCTTCTTTCACTCTTACTGTTTCTTTGCAAATCCTTCACCCATCCTGGACTTTGCATTCTGTTTTGCGCATTCTCAGTTTTTCTGTTTCCTCCCAGTCTGTCTCTCCTGATCCCCTGTGCCCACAGTCAAAGGGAGGGGAACGCGGTGAGATGTCCGACTCCAAGAAGGGCGGCATTTCCCAGTGGGCGTCATTTGGGACCAACGACACTGGCTGTCTCCAGAAGGGACCATGGTCACCTCCCCCAACGCGGAATCGGAGGAACGGGTGACTGCTAAGAGTCCTGGGGAGCAGAAGGGCCCGGCCCAAGGAGGAAGGAGGGGTGAGGGGGGTTTGCAGAATCCCCGGACCAGGGAGAGGACAGGGCTTCCCCAGGACTGGGCTGCAGCGCCGCCCCCCAGGGGCCCAGAAGGGCGAGGCTTGGGGACCGGAAGGGCCTGAATCCACCTGAGGGTGAAGCTTTACATGGCTCAGGGGGGCCGAGAGGTCAGTGACGGGTTTCAAGCAGGAAAACGGCGCCAAAGGAGGCGTCTCGCGGCCTGAAGGCAGAAAGACTGGGGACAGGAAAAGCCTCTCAGTGATTTTCTCCAACCGAGGCGACCCCGCACCCGGGGCTACGCCTGATTTACTTAGGGAGAAGGGAATGCTGTGAGGATTTAAGGTCTGTAAGACACCCTAGATCCCAGGTATGGAAGCCCCGGAAGACTGAGAAGCCGAGGTTCAAACTTAACGCAGATAAAAGGAAACTCACGCGCAGCCACGCCACACTCCCTCCACGCGATCCGCTTCCGGGTCCACAGAATGCTGCGCGCGCAGGAGACCCAGGCCTGGGCGGGGCCGGCGAGGGTGTGGGCGGGGCCTGGTGTGCTGTGGGCGGGGCCGGAGTTTTCCTCCGCCTAGCTCTGAGCACTAGCTGTTGCAAGGCTTTGAAAGGTTTGGGGGACCCAACACTAAGGCTGAAGCAACTCAGGGGACTAAGAGCTGGGATCGGTCTGGCGGGATCCGCGTGGGTTGTGATTTCATCCAGGAAAGTTCCTTCCATTCAAATTGATGTTAGCAAATTAAACAGCCCCAGAATTGAGTGCGAAGGGGATACAAGCTAGAATGTGAAATGCAAATCTCTGGGTGGGCAGAATATGCAATTTCATGCTGACGCCCAACAGAACAGAATGGAAATCCTTTCCGTTTATATTCCCCATATACTATGAAGGGAGTCAACCCTGTGCTCAGTTCCAGAGACTTTCATAGGGACAACACCTGAGGTGCAAGGCATGGAAACCTAAATCCAGTAATAAGTTAGGTCGCCAATTGTTGCTTTTAAAAAAGCAATAACTTTTTAAAGTAGATATTAATTAGTTCTTCCTTACACTTGGTACACTTATTATGTTATGCCACTGAAGGTAGGTTAACCTGAAATACTTTTGAGATAAACTTTGTTGACATCACAATATTTATGTCAATAATTTCTAAATATACTGAAATTCAAATTGACTTTACCTGTAATCCTAGCACTCTGGGAGGCTGAGGCAGGTGGATCACTCAAGGTCAGGAGTTCAAAAGCAGCCTGAGCAAGAGCGAGACCCCCGTCTCTACTAAAAATAGAAAGAAATTAATTGGACAACTAAAAATATACAGAAAAAATTAGCCGGGCATGGTGGTGCATGCCTGTAGTCCCAGCTACTTGGGAGGCTGAGGCAGAAGGATCGCCTGAGCCTAGGAGTTTGAGGTTGCTGTGAGCTAGGCTGACGCCATGGCACTCTAGCCAGGGCAACAGTGAGACTCTGTCTCTCTCTCTCTCTCTCTCTCTATATATATATATAATTGACTTTATGTGCATTATGAAAACCTACTTTTCATTTTAAAACGGTAATGTATTTTAGGTCTTTGTTTTATGTTTCTGAATGTTCTGTTACGTATAGATAACATAGGCATTTGTATTTATTTTCCCCTAGAGAATGATTTTGCAATAGTTCTAAGACTATATGGCAGGTAGGCTATTCTCCTTCATAAGAACCCTGAAGAAAGGCAACTTGATTATAAAATATTAAATATCTTCATTTCTACCAGCAATAATTTTATGGCAGCATCTGTGAGTTAACATGTACTGAGAAGTATGTTTTTCTCTAATATCATTATTTGTGGAATTTTCATTCATGAAGAAATGATATAATTAAATAATACCATGCTGATATAGGAAACTTAGCATATTTAACATTTATCATCGTGGAAATGAGCGAATGTATGTTGGCATGGCCACACAGATGAATACAAAAAGATATATCTGCATTTTTTTTAAAGACTAGTCAAGTGCAGTGCATGTTTAAAAAGTTGCACTGTCCAGGATAGAATTTGGGATCTTTACAAGTTAGTAATCTCGTATTATGCAATATTGTTAAGTAACTGTGTTGCTAGGACGGAAATTTCAATCTAGACTTCCCTGATCTCACGCAGATAAATGAATTGATTGTGAAGCCTTTGGTTAAACCAAAAACCTAGATGGGACGTGAGTATAGCTGAAAGTCTGAATCATTTTGCATACAGGAGTTTTGCTG